GATCTTAATGATATTTTATTAACCCCTCTGGGCAGCTAGGTGATGTAATGGATAGTGTCCAGCCTTTACCTGAGTTCAAATCCGGCCTCAGACACTTACCAGCTGTGTTACCCTGGTCACTTAACTCTGTTTGCCTTAGTTTCCTCATCTGTAAAATGATCTGGGAAGGAAATGGCAAACCACTCCATTATCTTTGCCAAGAATACCTCAAATGGAGTCATGTAGAATCAGAGATGACTAAAACAATTGAACAACAAAAATTAACTCTCCCACTCTGAATAACAATTGTCATGAATAGTAGACATTATAATTGATTCTAGAAATGCATAAAGGAAACTTTGGCAGAATTTAAGTCTTTAAGAGGATATACATGATCAAAGACTCAAAGTTTTCCTGCAATACGTATCCTAATTCCTCTATGAAGGAAGGAATGGCCAAAGTTTGGTACCAGGTGTAAGCAGTACCATTAACAGAACAAAAGTATTCCACCAAAACCAGTTTGTTTGTTGTTTGTTTGTTTGTTTGTTTTTAAACCCAACCTCTATGCCATGGATCCCAACAATACTTCTAAGTCACATTTCTGGTGCTAGACTTTAACCACCAGCCAGCGTGCATGGGAGGCTACCTAGAAACCAGCCAAATTATAGTCCAGTTGTCCCAAAGCCCTCCTGAGAGTCATAAGTAAATCCAATTCATATTGGGCCAGGCCTGAAATTGACCATGTCACTTTTGTTCTAAAACCTCATCACAGACAAAAGGGTCAATTTAATTGAGCAAACATTTACCTGTCAACTCTCTTGTACCAAGTACTGTGCTAGATAAGGTGGATGGATTAAAAAAACACACTCTCTGCCCTTGAGAAACTTACCTTCTACTGGATGGATACAGCAGGTACAAAGAAAATTAAATACAAAGGAATGGAAGTGCTGCAATATGGCGGCTAGAGTGCTGATCTTGGAATAAAGAAGACCCAAGTTTGAACCTTGCCTCAGACATTTACTAGCATTGTAATACTGTTCAAATCATTAAATTTCTCTGGGCCTTCATTTCTCCCTCTGAAAATGTGACAGTGTGGAAGATTTGATGAACTCCAGACTAGGTAGCCTTCCAGTTGTCTATCTGGGATCCCTATAACCTTTAAGGTCTCACTCAACTTTCAATCTATGATTCCATAATACAAAAAAATATCTCAAAAGGCAGATAGTACTAGCCACTGGAGAGATCAAGGAAGGCCTCACATGGGATGTGGCACCGGAGCTGTCTTTGAAAGATGCTAATGGTTCTATGAGTCAGAGGAGGAGAGAAGAAGTGCATTCAAAGTATGGGGATATCTGGTAAAAACAAAAACAAAAAAAGGCATTGAATGCCATGTATAGAAACAGCCAAATGGACTGGAGTGGAAATTATATGAAGAGGACTGATATGAAGTAAGAACAAAAAGAACTGGATGAGTGGGGAGGTAGACTACAGAGGGCTTTCTATGCTAAGCTTCGAGGCATTTGGATTTGATCCTGAAAGCAATAGGGAGCCATTGACCTTGGCAGCTCCATGCCAGGGCTTGGTAGTCTACAGGGCTTCCTGGGTGGCCAATTCAATCAATGTTCTTGACTAAACCATTTCATTTGGACCTGAAGAAAACAGAATGTTATCATCTGCAAAACAAAACCATTTGGACAAGGACTTTCCATGTCACAAACACCTAAAGGACCACTATAAACAAGAAGGAGCAAGCAAGGATTCTGGGAAATTAAAAACATTTGTCCTAAAAAATTAAGCCTCTTGGGAGCCTGGAGCTGATTCCACAGCAGCAGGACAGCTGAAGGTGTTCAGAGACAGGGGAAGGAAAGAGAGAAATGTAAACAAATCACCCGGGATAAAGGCAAAGGGCCACCCCCAGAACAGACCTTCAGTTGGCCACCAGCTCTCAGGCCTGGGGTCCGACAGCCCCATCCAATCAAAAACAGTAACCATTTATCACCCAAGAACAGCCATTGTCTTCTAGATGCAAACAAGAATGTAAAGTCATTGAGAAGCCACATCTATATTAAAAATAATGATTTTTAAATCATAATCACCCACCGGACAGGTCATAAAACATATGGCAAGTGTCAAACCATGCTCATATTAATCCTGAATCACTGGTACTAGTAAGAGTGGAGAGAGGAAGAATACATGTTGATAAGTAATTCCAGCTTCCTTTCTCTTGTGTTTTAGAATACCTAACAGATCTTCCTGCGGATACTATCTACCCCAATCCATCATTCACATCAATGGCGGAATAATCTTCCTTGTAGTAACCTCACTCATCTTCCTAAAAACACTTCAATGGCTTCTTATAGCCTTGAGGAAAATTTGAAATCTTCTGGATGGCTTTCTAGACCCTCCAAAATATGGAAGCAGTTCACCTTTTGAGCCTTATCTCATATTCCTTTTCCATGAACTCTGCTCCAGCCAAAATGGTCTCATCAGTGCCCCACCTCCATGGGCTTGTTTATATATTTCTTGTACCTGAAATGCCCTACTTCCTCTCTCATCCCCTCCCTCTGAATTTCTACCCATTCTTTCAAGAATACTCAGATACTACCCAGCTACTGACATATCATCTTCCTCTCTTTAAAATGTATGCTCTGTGAGGGCAAGGGCTATTTATTTTTTGCCTTTGCCATAGTGTCTAGAAGACAGTAAGTCTTCTAGAAGAAATACTTGTTGACTGACTCACTGAGGTGTTCCAAGTGTTCTCTTTCAGCTTGGCTGATCTACAAGGCCTTTCCACCGAAGAACTCAAAAAGTACCTAGTATTGTATCTTTCTGATGTACTTATCTTGGGATGTTATGTGTTACTGGGATGTTGTGGGAATCAGCCAAATGAAACACTGTGTGAAAAGCACTTTATATCTCTCAAAATGCTAAATGAATGTAAGCTACTCTCTTCATAATTATCATCTTGTTCTCATTTTTTTCCCAACAGAGCTCAAATACCAAATTAATTTTAAACTGCTATGCTGTTGCTATTCTTTTATACATAAGGCTTTAAAGACTGTTACACAAGCAAATAAAATAACTGTTTTTTCTAGTTTCATTGAAACATTAGGATGTAAATATCTATAGGCTCACAATGCTATATTACTCTCATTATTATGGTTATTATGGTTATCTGTGCTTGTGTTTGATTTCCCCTAATAGATCATAAGTGGCAGAAGGATGGGCATTACAACTAATCTGAACTTGAGCATTTTTAACTTTTCTCTTAGTCCATCATTTAAATATGCCCTCCACTTCTATGGAAACTTGACCAAGCTGCTACAAAATATCAGGAGTCACAGATTTCTCTTTGTTTCCCACTCCCTTCCCTTTACAGGATGTGTTCATGAATACAATACCTGAAAGGCATCAAATCAAAGAATCTCAATCCCACAGTTACAATATCTCAACAAAATACATTTTACTTTATTTTGATTTTTAACATTTCTTCATATCTTAGATGCCAGATTTATTTATTTAAAATAAGAGCATAGAAATCAAGAATCAAATGATTATAGAAACTACAAGTACATACATTCATAAGATCATATGTTTAAAGCTGGAAGGGCCCTTGACACAGAGATCAATACATGAACCTATTTTAACAGAGAAAATCAGAATATGGTCATCACCATACAGAAAAAGGAAGAACACAAAGAATGGGTTAACAGTGATGGAGGTGGAAAGAAGGCAACCAAAGTTCACAAAAAGCAAAAGTGTGTTTCATATGGGACACTACATTTATTGATAGAAACACAACGTGATTCAGTGAGGTTCATGATCAGCAGGGTGGGCAGCTGCTGGTAATGTATTTTGCCCATACCAATAATAAAATTTAAAAAAAATACAAAATGGCACTCAAATTTGTTCCCTTCCATTCCTACAGTAATGATGACAGAGTGGCGAGAAACAGGGCAGAGGGTATTGAGAATTAAACAGTTTTCATACCATTTGGGACAAACTTTTAAACCAAATTTAATTTGTTGATTCGTACCTTTAAATATAAAATTCCTGTCCAATGACAAACAAGTGCACATTTTGCCAGAAGGGTTTAAACATACCAATCTTGACATCCTTATTATAAATGAAGCTAGAAGAAAGAAGGAATATTCAGCTAACTGAAGGATAGCTTACAGTTACTCTTTGGGAAAACCAAAAAAAAAAAAGGAGTTAGTGGAGTGGAGTTCTACCATATAGCCAAAGGCAACAAGGGGTGAAATAATTGTTCATCAACCATTTCAGTACTAACGATATGCATTGGCAAAAAGAGACCATGGAAATGATTGCTGCTGATATACTGACATCCATTTCTGAGGATGAAGAGGTAGAGAAATTGTATAAAGAAGAGCCTCCACAGTAAATCAACTTGCACTCTGATTTTTTGTGACCTCAATGCAAAGGTGTAAAAAGATGAGGAAAGAGAAAAATATGTGGAAAATCATGCTGCAGGAGGAAGGAAAAGAAGCCCATTACTGGTAGGAGTCTTGTGACTTTATATCGTGCCCACGCTCTAGGGAAAAGAATTGGTAGGTATTGGGAATGGCAAGTGCCCACACCCCAAACATATGCACACATATACCCAAAGACACAAAACAAAATTGATTATATTTTAACTGAGAAAAAAAGACTTGTTACTGATGTGGGAGTTATCTATGAATAAGTTACCTGGGAGTAGTTATGGCTGAGTTCAGATTTAGCAAAAAGCAGCAAGAACCAGAATCCAGCAATATGTTATTACAAGAATAATCACATTAGCAGCTCAGCAGTCATGTGTTTGTGTGTGTGTGTGTGTGTGTGTGTGTGTGTGTGTGTAAGATCATACACATTTTTTAACATGAAACTGAACGAACTAAGAAAAGCAGGAATTATATCTTAATCTTTGACCCTAGAATTATTTTACATTTAAATTCTCCAAAATACCTTCTGTGCCTTGATTTTTATTTACAAATACCTAAATAAAACAACCACCTTGTCCTCACCTCCCACATCAACCTGTAGTCCATACTTCCATCCAAATCCTGAAGCATTTTCTTCTCTCCAGCAAATGGGCCAAACTTTTCACCCTACACAGGAATGACATTGAAAAGGCATTAGTACAATCACTACATCAATGGTGTTGATGACGAACAACTCTGCTGCACAAAAAAAAAGGTGTGGCAGTATTTGCTTTCTACAATTTCATGGAGGTTGGAATCCCTGGGGAAATGTTAGATAAATATAATGCCAATCAAAGACTCAAGCTCTTGTCTTCCTAAATGGTCCAAAATCAAATTGATCTGCTGCTTAATGTCTAATTACTGAACAGGATCCCATAGAAAAAACTAAATCATTTAGAATTCTGGAATGAGGAAGGAATTGAAAAAAAAAATTACTGTGTCCATAACCCCCAGGCAAGGGGTCTCAGAATCAGAAGCACTGAGATTTTTGAAAATAAATTTACTGATGAATTTTATCTTTACATTGCCTAAATTTCTCCCTGTATCATTACTATTCCACATCCTAGAAAGCCATAAAGGATCGTCTTTACTGGTTTGAAAAACAAGGTCACTATGCTAAACTTCACTAGGTTTCCATTAAAATAATAAATCCATGCATACCACTGACAGAAAAGAACGGATGTGCTATCCTCAGATGAGTACATATGCTTTGGTTAAAAACCAAAAAGAAAAAAATATATATACAAAATCCATGGCTGGCACCTCAAACAGCCAGTCACAGGGGCAGACTTTGTGCTTGATTTGTGCTAAGGGTGAGGTGCCTTGTAGCTGAGCAACAGTCGTCCAGCTCCAGAAACAACACTAGAAAGGTACAGAGTGGACCTAGGTCTGCCCTCTCTGCAATAGCCAGCATTTGGAGGCACAAACCAAGCATTCTTCTGCCAGATCTGCAAGGAGATGGTAGGAAAGTGCTCCTTTACTCATGAAAGGGAAGCCTTTACCATAGGCTGACCTTGAGAAAAATGCCACCAACAGCAGCATCTCCAAAGGGATAGGGAAGGGAACGACTGTGATATAGGGGAACAGCAACAAACATGGTAGGGATTCTGTATAATCCAGATTCAATTCAACAATAATTTATCAAGTACATACTGGGTGGAAGGCACTATGCTGGGGAATAACACTACCAAGGTATGAAAGGAAGCAATCCTTACCCTCAAGAACTAGGCATTCTATAAGAGAAATCTTAGGTAGATTTCAGTCCCTATACACATGAAAGTGACTCCCCAGCTGGAACTCACTGAATTCTAAAGCTAGAAGCTACCTCAGGGAGACCCTCTAGTTTTACCACCACCCCCATTTTGTGGAGGAGGAACCTGAAGCCTAGACAGAGTAAAGGACCTCACCAGAGTCATACTGCTAACTACTTAACAGAGCTAGAAGGCCTACTCTTCTTGAAATTAAATTCCATTGAAAACACATGTCTTTAGTAACTGTCAATTGAAAGGCCTCATGCTTAGGTAATACAAAGATGGGAGGGAGGGGAAATCCCTTACCTTCTAGGAGATTACACTCCACTGGAAATGACATAACAAATAAAAAGATAAGTAAAAGCCAGGAAAGTGGAGAGTGTGATAAGAGCAAAAGAAAGAGCCTAGTGAAAGTATTCGAGGAAAATCTGAGGAAGGAAAGAAGACCTTTTGGCTGGGGAGACCAGAAGAGGTACCATGGGGCAAGTAGCACCACTCACTAGCTGTGTGACCCTAGGCAAGTCACTTAATCTCTGTTTGCCTCAGTTTCCTCAACTATAAATTTGTAATTTTTTTTGTTTTGGGTTTTTTTTTTTGGCATTTTTGTTTTTGTTTTTGTATGAGGCAATAGGGGTTAAGTGACTTGCCCAGGGTCATACAGCTAGTAAGTATTAAGTATCTGAGGTCAGATTTGAACTCAGGTCCTCCTGACTCCAAGGCCAGATCAACTATAAATTTGAAGAGAAAGATGAGTTCTGTTTTTGAAATGGAGAGTTTGAAAAACCGAGAAGCTATGCAAGTATAGATATCCAGCAAGCAGACAGTGATGTAGACGTAGAACTCAAGTGGGAGATTCAGGCTGGACAGCCACATCTGGAAGTTGGGTGCATGGAGGTGAAATTGAACTTATGTGAACTAATGAGGTCAAGGGATAGAATAGAATGAGAAAGGATTACACAGGACAGATTGGGGTGGGGCACACACTGCTAATGGAGGGGGGGAGGACAAGGAGGAAGGCTCACCAAAAGTAGCCAAGAGAAAGAGTAGTTGGGCAAGTGGCCAGGAGAGGGAGAACTATTCAAGAGTAAGGCTGAGGAAGGCAAGGGAGGAGAAAGTATCCAGGAAGAGGGGGTGACCCATAGTAGCAAAGGCTGCAGAAAGTCAAGAATAGGGGCTTCATCTTTCATTTCTTTTGTTGCTCCCCCACCTCCAAAGAACTGGAGCCTTAGAATCACCATCATCATCACCACCATCATTACAGCAGCAGCAGCAGCACCATCAGCATCATCATAGCTAGCATTTAGACGCAGAACCTTATGGTTTGTGAAGTACCTTACATGTATTCTTTGATCCTCACAACAGGCTTGTGAGGCAGGGGCTACCATCCTTATTTTACAGATTAGGGAGATGAGACTGAGAGTTGAAGTCGCCACAGAAGCCATTGAGTCCAATCTCCTCATTTTTTAGACGATGGAACTGAAGACCAGAGACTTTGAGTGACTTGGCCAGAGTCATTGGGTATTAAGTGTCTAAGGCAGGGTTTAAACCAAAGTCTTCCTGATTCCGAGTCCAGCGACACCACTGTCCAGAACGCTGCACTGTCTCCCTAGCAGGTTACGACACAAACTCACGGAATTCATCTTAAATCTATAAGCAACAAGGGCTGAAGTTGTGAAGCATATCTAATCTCACAATAAGGACATTTCTAGAGCACGTTAAGATTCACAAAGTCTTTCACATAGGTTGACCACTCTTACAGGTGCTACTATTATCATCATTATATAGATAAGAAAAGGTATGCAGTTGTCCAAAGGGATACAGTTAAGTGTCTGGGGCAGGATGTGAATTCAGGTCTTTCTGATTCCAAGTCCAACCCTCTATCTATAGACTAGATTACCTATTTGTCTGAAATGCATGCCCTCCTCATCTCTACCTACAAAAGTCCTCCTCCTGCCAAACCTTGATGAAGTGATAGCCCCCCAGAAGCACTTCCTGATTCCCTCCAAGCTGAGTGTTCTCTCCACCCTCAACTGTCTTTTTCTCTCTGGCCCCAGGATTCAACTACTAAAGTGCCACACAACTGATAATTATTTTTATTTTTACTAATACTATAAAATTTATTTTTGAACATGTTCCTCTCTCCCCTTTCAGGAGAATGTAATCTCAGTAAGGTCACAGACTGCATCATCGTTTTATCTCCAGTAAGTGTACAGTCTTGTTCATAGCATACACTTAATAAATATTTGCTTATAAGATGATGTAATACTATACATGGTTTCTTTTGGGTCTTTTTTATGACTATGGATAGATTTGGGTAATGGTGGTTGTTTTATAGATTGTATACTCATGGGCAGGAGAGATACAGTTAGTATTCACAGGAAACTTCATCGTCAAAGGCTTCATTCTTCAGGATTTTTAAGGCTATAAAATATTGGTTTGGAGAAGAGGGATCAGAGAACCTAGGCTTGTTTTCACCTGTTATAAATAAGCTTTCTAGGCAGGTTTTTTTTATTATTATTATTCCAATGCTTCCATTTCTCCTTCCCTAATCCTTTAAACACTGGCTCATTGATGGTTCTGTTTTTCTTTTTCTTTTTTTTTTCGAAAGCATTGGTACAAGCAGAAACTGACTTTTTAAAAATACATTTTATTTTATTTTGCACAGACATGTAGAAATGCACATATGGGGTTTGTTTTCTTGTCCTTCCATTTCTCCCTTGGACTAATTCCTCACTAAACTATTCCTCATTTCACTGTGACCTCCAGCCAATCCATCCCTCCCTGTTTTCCCAGCCAATGACCCCATCTGCAGCCTCACATTCTCTCCTAATCTGGACTACATAGTTGGGCACTTCTATTGGATGCAGCCTTCTAACCTTGAACTCCTTGTATCCTTAAATTCAGTCTACTAAGAATTTAAAAAACAAGCTGGTCACATCCTGCCAACGTTCAGTCCTGAGCCAATCCAAGCATTTTCCTTCTCCACTTTTATTCTGGGTCTGTTCAATACTATTGCAGGAAATCACACCTCTCTCTCTCTCTCTCTCTCTCTCTCTCTCTCTCTCTCTCTCTCTCTCTCTCTCTCTCTCTCTTTCATTTCCATCTTGGGATGGTTTTCCCTTCCTTAAGCAGCACTGCACACCCTCAGCATCCTGCTTCTGGGGACTCCCCATATTGATACTGGATTTAATAAGAGCACACTCAGCCTTAGCCTTAATGCTGTTCAGAACTCCTTTGGCATTCTAGTAAGAGGATATAGGGTTCCACCACCACGTCTATCCCAAGATTTCTTAACTGTTTACATCTAATGCCCAATGTTCAGTCCTCATTCTTCTTGACATTTCTATAGCTTTTACCACTGTTGACTACACTCTGCGTACTCTGTCTTCTCTCAGAGTGTTCAGCACCACTCTCTCCTGGCTCTCCTCCTTCCTATCTGACTCTTCCTTCTCAGTCTCCTTTGCTGGAACATCATCTATGGCCCAATCCTTTAGACTCCATCCCGGGCCCCTTTCTCTTCCAACTCAACACTCTCTCCCTTGGTGACATTTCATGGGTTCAGGTAGTATCTTTCTACATTTGGCTGACCTATCTACATATCCAATTCTTTCTCCCTCTACCAACCTACCTCTTTCATCCACCAACTACACATGGTCTGCTACTGCCCAGGCCCCTCAATTCAAGGAATCTTTAAAATTATTGAATGAGGTTAGGGTTAGGCAGACGTGGTCAGCATCCTGCTGGGAGGGTATTTTCTCCTGCAATTAGTATCAGAATATCAAGCTCAACATGTCAAACAAAATTATTTTCCACTGCGAATGAATGAGGGAAAAAAAATGCTTCATAAGAGCTTACCATGTGCCAAATGGTGCATTGTGTGTTGGGTACAGAAACATGAAAACTTAAGATAGTCCTTGCTCTTTAGGAACTCACACCCTAATGTGGGAAGATAACATCTAAAGAAAGTTCAGCAGCCCAACAATTAAGTCCTAAGGGTGCAGAGGAAGGCCCAAAGTTGTTTAGGTTTTATTGCTGTCACATAACAGTGCAATGGGTCTGGGGACCATCAGAAAGGCCAGTTGGTAAGGCACTGAGGAACTTGGGAAGCAGTTGCAGAGCACCCAGTGGTTTCCTCCATCTCATCAAAAGGAACAGCATTGATAACTCCCATCTGCTCTAAGCAATCAGCAGCCTGGATGGGTACTAGGTATCCCAAGGTCCTTTAAGGAATGAACTACGGGGATATACAGGAGAAAACTGTGCTAGTTGTGAGCTGGGACCATAGAAGTCTCTCCTTTATTCCACAGCTGCAGTTGCTCCTAGCCTGCAAAGTTGCTTTAGTGATATTCCTGAATTTCTAGCATACGTTCCCATCTGTCAGCTCACATAGCCGCTACTCTGGTCCACACCCTCAACACCTCTTTCTGGATGGTGATAGCCTCTTAATTATCTCCCTGTCTCATCTCTCACCACTGCAATCCATCCTCCATCTAGCCACCCACATGATTTTCCTAAAGCATAAGCCTGACTATCATTCTCCTACTTTGTAAAACATTCAATGGCTCCCTATTGCCTCTAGTATGAAATATAATCTCTCTCTGGCATTTGAAGCCCCACCTGACATTTCCAGCCTTCTTTATCATTCCCCCCCAACCATACAGCCCAGGGGTGGGGAACTGGGACCTCAAGGCCACATGTGGCCCTCTAGGTCCTCAAGTATGGCCCTTTGACTGAATCCAAACTTCATAGAACAAATGTTCTGTGAAGTTCTCCACCTCTGGTCCTGCCATACTTGCCTTTTTTGCTGATCTTCATACATGTTACCTCATGGCCCACCTTATACCTTTGCCCCAGCTGTCAGACATATGTGGAATTCTCTTCCCTTCCTCCCCTCCACCTCTTAGAATCACTAGTTCCCTTCAAGCCTTAGCTCAAGCTCCATCTTCTGTGTGTGGTTAGTGCCTTCCCTTTCTAAGCTACCTTGTATCTTGTTGGGATGAGTTTGGTATGTGGCTATATATGTGCATGTACAATGAAAGCTCCATGAGGTCAAGAATGGGACCCAGTACATAGCAGCAGCATGATAAATGCTTAACTGATTTAGTGTAGAAACTATTTCTTATCTGAACTCTGTATTGCCCTCAGAATCTGACCTAGAGCTCTAGATACAGTAAGTATTTGAAAACAGCAAACGGATGGATGGATGGATGGATGGATGGATGGATGGATGGATGGATGGATGGATGGATGGATGGATGGGTGGATGGATAGATGGATGGATGGATGGATGGATGGATCCTAGGAGAGAAAGCATGTGCTTAGAAGTGAAAAGTGGAAGAGATAGTAATGAAAAGCCTGAAGAATCCCTGGTCCAGGGGACCATCTGGCTTCCCCTGCTCTGAAGTCAACCTTCTCTCACACAAACATAGGTTTGAAGTCTTCTGGATAGATCCTCCTTCTTGATGGACTCATTCTTTGCATCAAGAACTGGGACTGGGGCTAATATCTGTGACTTACTAGAACAAAGCATATGATTCATGAAGCATTCCCATCAACTTAACTTCTGAATCTTGGCAATGAGGATGCTGCTGCTGCTGCCACTGATGGTAGTATCATAGGTTTTGACCTGAGAGGTTACCATGCCCAACCCTTTTATTTACAGATGAGGAAACTGAAGCAGAGGTTAAATGACTTTGCAGAGTGATAGCTAATAAATGCTCAGCTGTCTTGTTGCCCCGGAACTTCCCTCAGAGCCTGGGACTTTCTCATCCTGGAACATCCCTCCACCCTCCAGCCCCCTTCTCCCACTGGTGAGTTTCTCCCAGGGCTTCCCCATCAGCACCCTCATAACTGCCATTTACCTAGCACTTTAAGATTTTTCAATGACATTCAATGCCATACAATCAACAAATATTTATTATGCATCTATGGGACAGAAAGTATTCTGAAAATAGAGATGATAATACAAAAATGAGACAGCCCTGTCCTCAAGGAGTGTGCATTCTACCAGGAGATCTCCAAGTTCACAAATAAGTAAAAACCAGTTATATACAAAATAAATATACATTGACTAGAGGGCAGAGCACTAACCGCTAAAGGAATCTGGAAAGAAGTCTTCAAGGAATCGGGATTTGAGCTGAATCTTGAAAGGAGCTAGGTGTTCCAAGAGATGGAGATAAGGAGAAAGTTTTGCATACAAAGCACAGCTGGTGCAAAGATACGGATTAAGTGACTGACTTGCCCCGCATCCCTAAGTTAGTTAGCATCCCAGGTGGAATTCAAATCTACGTCTTCCTTACAAGAGGACAGACAAACCAGCCAGACTGAAGCAGCAGGCACCCTGATCGGGAGATAGGATGTACCATATGTTTTAAACCACAGGGTCACAAAGGCAGTATGCGGAGATTTGAACCCAGGTCCTCTTACAATAAATCTCCGTCTCTTTCCCCTTCCTCTTACTTCCCCTTTTGCAATAAGGTTGCTCCACATCCCTAGACTCCTTCAAAGTTCACTTCAACTCCAGACTTCACCTTCCTTGATGGTCCTTGAGGCTGTCTCTCCCTCCACCCCACCCCCCAGCCCTTGTATCTGTATTTACTTCATTTCTGCTGATGTGTGTGGTGTTCCCACGTGAAGATGGCTAAGGCATCATTTTGTATCTTAGCCAGCTAATTAGGGATGGGTGCTATGGTGGTTATTTAACTAGTTTAGGGAACTCCCAGGTAAGGAAACTCCTACCATTGCAGGTTAGCACCTTTTCAACTTAGAATCTCAGAGTTGTGAGAGCACCGAGGTGGTCGGGGCGTGACTTGAATCCAGGTCCACTTGGCCTCCAGGCCTGCCCTTTGGTCACTTACTGAACCACACAGGTAAGCAAGCTCTCTGTAAGTTCTTGCTCATTGATTTCCTCCTAGAGCGGCAGATTCCTTCTTTAGCCAGAAGCCTTTCCTCCAGATCCTTGGAGACTAGAGAAAGTTAAAGGCTCTGGTGACCGAAGTCAGGAAGAAGTTTCTTCCCTGGAAACGTGCAAAAGAAGCTGGACCCGAGAGGCGAGAGGGCGCGCCAGCCCTCTCCTACGTGGCACCCCAGGGCTGGCACAGAGGTTGAATCTCAGGCTGGGGCGGCATCTCGCAGGAGCCCCCCAGCCCCGCCGGCCTGCTCGGCCTCACGCACTCAGTCTCCTCCTCTGGGGGCAGGCTCCCATTCCTGGGAGTGGGCAGCGGAAGCAGAAGGAAGGGAAGACAGGGAGAGAGGAAAGGAAGGAGGAAGGGAAGGAAGCAAGCGGGCAGGGGTCGGGCACCCACCTTTCTCACTCTTCGGGCTGTGTAAAGCCCCATCCCGTCCTGAACTTGGGAAGATTTGAGCGCAAACCTGTCGGGCACATACATGCCCAGCATGGTCCCGCTGGAGAGAGCCCGAGAGCTCAGCGACCTGGCTGAGCCCGGACCGGCCTGGGCCCCGCTGCTACCACGGTCACGGCCACGGCCAAGGCCAAGGGGGAGCTGGGACCCACAGAGCAGCGGGGTCGGAGCAGCTGCGCACACGACCCGCGCCGCTCCGAGCCCCGGCCCGGCTCTACCTCTGGTTCTGGCTCCAGACAAGGGCCCCCGGTCCCGGCTATAGCTGCGACTCGGCCAGGAGGAGGCCCCAGCGCCGGCGGCCCTGAGGATGCTGGGCTCTGATTGGCCCAAAGTTTTCAGCCTAGACCCACTGGGCTGTGGAGTCCGGGAGGATGGGGGCAGGGCGGGGGCGGGCAGAGCAAATCCTGCATCCTGCGAATGTGATGCGCTCATCCCAAACTCCGAATCCGACTGTGTATCTGCCTGCCTGCCGACATGTCTGTCTGTCTGAATGACTAGTCTGTCAGAATTTTAGGTTAGGAAGGGAATTCAGAGGCCATCTGGGCTCTCAGCCTGGGATATGCAGGTTCCCAGGTAGTACTAGGAGCAAAGAAAATTTGGTAAGTGGTCTATTATCCTATTGATATCAACCTCTTTATTTTCTCTCTCCTATATATGTGCATAGAAAGCTCTAAAACTAATGCCCTTACATATTGAGTAAGGACTCCAACTTCTGAAAGCCTAGAGCTATGAGATAGAAAAGGATAGGGATCACCTAGTTGACCCAGGATCTGGATAACATACCCTTCTTTGGCATACTCTGCTGGGAGCCTGGAAAGCCACTGCATCCCCCAGGAAACCAGTCTTGCTTTCGGACAGCTGTAATTGCTCAGAATCTTGCCTTAACGTCCAGCAGAAATCTTCCTGATTGCAAATTCCACCCACAATAACTAGTTTTGCCCTCTGGGATCAAGCGGAGATATTCCATCCCTCATTTGAGGGTCAGCCCTCCAAAACTTTGAAGAGGCTACCAGCTTTGCTTTTTTTCCCCACAAGTCTCTACTTCAAGCTAAGTGTCCCAACTTCTTCCCCAGGATCTTCCTTTGTTCCGTTGGCAAGGCTGTTCACCAACCTGATAGCCTCCTCTAGATATTCTCTGCAGTATTTATACTTAGACACCTCACCCCATCTTGTCCCATTCTGAGATCAGACACCATTCATAGGTGTTGTCAATGCTGATCTCTCTACTGATGTCCTCCGCCTTAAACTTCTGTCTCTAACAGGCCACATGACCAGAATACAGGACTGGCACGCAGTTGAATGCTAAATGAATTTTAGTTGGTTGATTGATTGATTGTAGAAACAAAAACAGGAACAAAGGAGCAAGCTTCTCAGTTTCCTGGCCTAAATCGGGAAGCATATTGAGGGCCTGTCACTCTATCCTCTAGCACCCAGCCCATTTTATTCCCTCACACTCTCAAAGAAATGTGTCTGTAGATGTGAACACTTCAGAATACATAGACGCACTCCTAGGAAATCTGAAAGAGCGAGCAAGTTCAAGAGGGAGATCAATTCTAGTCGTTTAAAATAACACTTATTTTAGAAATGAGGGAGGGGAGGGAGATAAGAAGCAATTATATGTGCCAGGTACTATGCTAAGCTCTTTCTACAAATATTATATCATTTGATCCTCCCAATAACCTTGAAAGGTAATGCTACTCTTATGCCCATTTTACAGTTGAGGAGACTGAGGTATAGAGTGGTTAAGAGTCTTGCCTGGGGTCGTACACCTAGTGAGTGTCTAAGGTAGGAATTGACCTTAGGTCTCCCTGACTCCAGGTCCATTGCTCTACTATTTGCCTCAAAAAGGGGGGGGGGCTCTCTTTTAAAACCATTTTGAGAGTCTTCAACATGTCTTTGAACACTGACAAACTATAAATACCAGGAGGACAGCTACCAAGGAAAACTGAAAGCCATCGATCATGGCCCATCATGTAGCACAGACATCTGCAAACAGTAGGTGATTCATATGTGTTTGCTGAAATAATGTCAGTGACATATGAGAATGAGCCCTGCGTCCAGAGTAGAGGACCTACATGTCATTCTAAGCTCCGTTATTACTTACCTCTAATGTGATCTTGAGCAAGTTGTTCTCCTTTTCTGAGCCTCAGTCATGTCCTCTGTTAACTTAAGGAGTTGAGGTGGATGAGTCTCTATCCTTCTAAGGATAGAGACTCAACGTCTACTTTCATTTGTACGGGAAATCTTGAATGATGAAACTCCTTCTAACTAGGCAAGTGTTCACCCTCTCTTCCTAGAGAGTTGGAGGGATTTACCTAGTGCAGGGGTGGGAAACCTTCAGCCTTGAGGTCACATGTGGCCCTCAAGGTCCTCAGGTGCAGCCCTTTGACTGAATCCAAACTTCACAGAAGTTTGACCTAGAGCACTGGATAGATTAAGTGCCTGATGTCATAGAGCCAGTAAATGGAAGAAGTGAGAATTGAACTCGGGTCTTCACAGGCCTGAGACTGGCTTTCTGTCCACCATGACACTGCCTCTTAAAACCTATAACATAGTATCTATGTAATGGGGGTACGGGACAGGCACAAAGTGCCTTCACATGGAGGATGTCAGAAAGCAGGTGACCTCTCTCCATGGGGAAAACATGGGCAAGTTTCTTCCTGGAGAATCTCGATAATGTGTAAATGAAGCGTCTTGTGGAGACATTCTGTAACTGCTTCCAGGTGGCTGGCTACAAAGCCTTCTTCTTTTGGCCAGATCACCAGAACTGTTCACTCTTTCCAAAAGGCTTGAGTCAGCTTTCCTTCTCCTCATTGTCTTCAGCTGTGCTTGGATGGTCGATGGTGTCCAGTGAGAGATTGTGTCCTAAGGGGAAGAGCCATGGCCCTGTCCTCTCTGAGATCAAATGGCTTACCAGAGAAATGGGACCTCCTTGGCCTTCTCATTCATTTCTTTCCACTTTAAGAGCAAGGAGTGGAGTCTACAACCTTGAAAAAAGTGAGCCACAGGAATCTAGGAGTGTGGATTCAGACAAAGTTTTGCAGTCAATAAAATGATCTCCAGCAGTGACCTTTGATACTACGGCTCAGTGGAAGGTTAGTCTCTAATCATGCAACATCTGCACATGAACTTGGTTGTGCTATGGAGGAACTAAGCTAAATTATAATAAGCCTAATCCCCAACCCAAACTCAGACACCAAGGTGGTGTGGGGCAAATTTGCCAAGGAGGTATTGGGAGCAATGTTGGTATATTTGTTTTCACTCTATCTTCAAGTATATATTCTTTTGTAATAGTTACTCACTGCTAAGTGATTAAATGGAACTGGGAATACCAACCATCGACCCACTAAAATGGGGATACACAGCCAGTAGGGGATCAAGCCAATGGCAAGAGAAAATAGGAAACTCTTTAAATTCTAAAGGGTGTCCTAGAAGCCTGAGGAGAAATGTAGCCTACCTGTCCATAACAGAGAGGACCAGAGAATACATATTACACACACACACACACACACACACACACACACACACACACACACCACCCCATACACTCCACAGTGAGCAATTCTTGACCTCAAGGAGCTTATCTAAGAACAAGGCTTCTTAACCTATGTCTATATATTTTCATTTCTTCCAATTTTTAATTTTGTTTAATAATTATTCTGAGAAGGGTCAATAGGTTTTACCAGACTGTCAAAAGGGTCTATAAGACAAAAAAGCTTAAAAATCCTTGTCATCAAGCAGCAAGGAACTACTGGCATTTAGGGATTACTCTTAAGGCAAATGGTTCTGGCAGTAATGTGTAGGCTAGAGTGGAGTAGGGAGAGATAGGATGCAGGAAGACCAGTCAGAAAGCTGGGGCAATAATCTAGGCAGGAGGTCAGAAGTGCCTGAACTAGGGTGGAGAGAAATGGGGTTTGGTGCAAGAGAAGGGGAATTTCCCAAGGCTCATCCTCAAACAGCAGGATCAGCTTTTCACTTACCATACCCAGTATGATTGAACTTGCCAAAGCTTGCACATTGCTAGAATTACTCAGGGTTACCTACATGTCGCAATAGGCTTTGGAGAACTGATTTTTCAAAGTTCTATTAACAGTAACGATGATAATTCCCATTTGGATCACACTTTAAAATGCACAAATCACTTTTCCCCCAAGAAGCTTATTTTCTAGATTCTCCCCTTTCCCCACTGTGATTTTCACTGTATCATTTCTTCAGATCTGCAATGTGCTTAGAGTTTTTCTGCCTGGCAAAGCACTCAGGGATAATGTATCAGGGCCATACAAGGGTAGAGGCCCATTACCCCTCTTGGATAAGATGTCTTGGCATATCATGCATGGGACCTTAACAAACTCAATAAAATTCCTCTTCATCAGTATTTTCTGAGCATCTAACTAGGAGGATGAAACCACAAAGAAATGCTATTTACAGCTTTTTATAAGTTGAAGTTAATGCCCAGAACATGAGGTCCTCACTACATGTGATTCAAGAGTTATTTGCACTGGTCACCCTTCCCACACACACACACACACACACACACCCATCACTAGATGCTGGAATTCATTCCTTCCTCACCTCTGTCTCACAAAATTCCTTTCTTTCTTCATAAGGCTATTCAAATACTGCATTCTGAATAAAGTCTTTCCTTATTCCTGCCCCCCAATTGCTAGTACTCTTCCTCCCTAACTCCCTTGTATTTAATTGCTTTATATTTGCCCTGTTTATATCTATTCTCTATGTAATGGTAACTTTGGAGCATTCCCATATTTCCTAGCATGGAGGCATCCTGCTTCTGGGAGAAAACACCCTGCATTCATCTAGCACATGCATGAAAGTAGCCTCCTTAGATTGGCTGTGTGGATAGAACAAGCTCTTTCTTTCAAATTTCCAGCCTGGGACATTCTCCCTCCCTTTCCAGAAAGGGTAAAGTTTAACCTTCAGCACAGAAGTCATGAACTGAACAAGTAAGGAAAAAAGGGCATCCTTCTTCCTACTCTCTCCTTTAGACCCTGTAGCCCCAAGAAATGTGCCTGGGATTTAAACTGAACCAGGGTATGGGGCAGAGAGTCCATACACTTTCCAAAGCCCCTTAAGCATACTAGAGAGCTTTGGAATGAGATGTAACATACCTAGCCTTTAGGCAGTGAGGGCCAGGCTAGTTTCTATTACATAGATAAATACACTGTATCTCCTATTAGTGTGTAAGGTCCTTGAGAGCTGGCAATGTTTCATTCATTCATTCAGTCCTTCTTCCTTATCCCTGGTTGGTCCAGAACTCTCTCCAAGTCCATA